GAAAAGAACATGGAAACTACTTCATGGTTTATATAGGGTTTATGGTGTATACCTTGGGGTTATATAGGGAAAATGGAAAAGAACATGGACACTACTTCATGGTTTATATAGGGATCATAAGGTATATTTTGGGTTATATAGGGATAATGGAAAAGAACATGGAAACTACTTCACGGTTTATATAGGGATTATAGTGTATACGTTGGGATTATATAGGGATAATGGAAAAGAACATGGAAACTACTTTATGGTTTACATAGGGATTATAGTGTATACATTGGGATTATATAGGGAAAATGGAAAAGAACATGGAACTACTTCATGGTTTATATAGGGATCATACGGTATATTTTGGGTTATATAGGGATAATGGAAAAGAAAATGGAAACTATATTATGGTTTATATAGGGATTATAATACAGGGTATATATTGGGGTTATATTGGGTTAATGGAAAAGGAAATGGAAACCATGGGAATTATAGAGGTTATATAGGAGTTATTGATATTGCTGCTGGTTAGTGGGGAAGGAATTGAAAAGAACGTGGAAGGTACCATACGACTGTTATTCAGATTCTCTGGGGGTGTCACGTTTCTTAGGGCTTGGGTTCTGGGATTCTTCGTTTTCAGGGTTTGTCGGTAAGGTTTGCAGCTTGGGGACTCAGCAACAGAAAGCTACAAAGTCTGCACCATAAAGCCCGAATCCCTACCCCAAACCTCTCCCATAGCTGCCCCAGACCCTGTAAGCCGAATCGCTTAGCTTTTCGGGCGTTATTCATCAACCCAGACGCGGGACAACTCCTTTACCTGAGGTGCTGGATGAACAGGTCCATGCCGCAGAGAGTGAGGCAGCGCGCCTCAATGAGGCTCCGCGCCGGCAGCCAGGGCACTTTCCGGGGAGCATCTAGCCTTCGCATGGGGGTCAAGGGATATGAGGTGGAAGCCGCAAGTCTCACGCTGAGGGACCTTTCAAGCAGCCCCTGCAAAAACACTGTTGCAGTTTCAGAGCAGTGTAATTATCTCCTGCAGATATTCTTGAAGTTTTTCTTCCGTGAAGGTCAAGGGCATGAGTTTATCTTCAGAACCTGATACGTACGCTGTGCGTACGGGATTCCAAGCTGTGAAAGCTTCCTAGCGCATAGCTAAGTCCCTACACCCTCCAGGTCCTATACCCCAGCTGAATCCCCACGCCTCACTCTAAGGCAAAAAGAACTGTTCATCCCTCTGTATCCGTTCGTATTGAAGCATGCCCTAAACCCTAGACCTTGAATCCAAAACAAATAGTACCCTAACATCCCTAACTAAACAGCATAAAGCCTTTACTCTACACCCTCCCTCCACCCTAGCAGCGTGTCAGGCCTTGGCTCCTCTCGTACACCTAAAGTCCGAAGAAGAGGCAGGACTTGCATTGCTTGATGGTCATAGTGACAGGTTTAGGGGTTCGTTGGGTGGAGGGTTGAAGTCTTGGGAAGCTGGGAGTTTTGGGAATCAGTGCAGGAACGGTTTTAAGGATGGGAGTAGCCAGTTTCTTTGAAGACGGAGTTTGAAGGAGAGTCTGCAAGACAGTGTCTTGATTGTGCAAAGTGTCTTGATTGTGTGTAGCGTAAAACGAAAAAGTGTGTAATACGCGTTTGAGCTACATGGTGTGTCTGTAAGTTAAAATGAAGGCAAATCATGTTGCTTGTCTTTCATGCTGCCTCAGTGTTGTTGAGTTGCTGGATGTTGCGCTTTGAGGTATCGTTGCCAGGATCTGGTGCCATGAGAAAGTTATCTCACCCGGCTAACAGGCGCACTCTCCAGAAGCGCATAATGAATCCTAACCTTGCAAGCCAGCACCCCGTGCACTGCAACTTGATGCATCCACGGTGCTCCTGAGGTCCTTACTGTGCCGACGTCGCTCCTCAAGGAAGGTGAGCAGATGAACGTGCAGCTCAAAGAAAAGCTGCAATCTGTGAGGACCAGGGGATCTTGAATGCAGGCTGGCATCGCTCTCATGACTCTCCCAATCTTCGTGCAAACTTGGGAGGTCTTGCGTTTTTTGTACCAAGGTCCCAACATACAGCTTTCAAGCTTCATAAGTCATATGACAATGGGTTAGAATCTCCAAGCTACTTCTGCCTTCACGCCGAGTGGGCTGGCACTAACAGGACCGAAATTGAGAAGCACGAGGTTCCCAAGGACAAAGGCTGGCCATAGTCGTAGCAACAGTACTAATAACACTACTAATAATTAGTGATAGTTGGTAATAATTCGAAATATTTCGTAAGAATTTGTAATTATAATCTAAGTAATAATCGAAGTAACAATGTATAACCTCCATAATAATGTAGTAGTTTCCATTCTCTTTTCCATTCGCCTTATATAACCTCAATATCTTCCCATATTATACTATAATGGTTTCCATTTTCTTTTCCATTATCTCTATATAACCCCAATATATACTCTGTACGATACTCTGTATTATAATCCCTATATAAACAGAAGAGGTGGCTATGGGGCGCTCTCCGGAATAAACCCGATATAATCCCTATACAACCCCTATATAACCCCAATATAACCCCTCTATCACCCCTATATAACCCCTATAGCAGCCAGCTTTTCCACTGGGAGGTTGTTCTGGACAGATTCAGCAAGCTGTCGGCGCAGCAAAGTGGAAGGCCCCAGCTTTGCTCGGCTTCCCTTCAGACACCCTGACATGAGCCATCGTCTAAACTCTTTAAAGGGGGGGTATATAGAAGATATAGGGCACTAGTATAGGGGTTGTTGAGGGGGATACTATAGGAGTTTTAGACAATGGCTCACCTAGATGTCAGGTTGACAATATGGAGAAGGAGACGGCCAAAGTGCTCCAGGCAATCTTCTTGTCTTAGACTTGGAGTTCTCTTGACAAAATTCGTTTCCTCGAGGCCGCTCGCGCGACGGCCTCCCGTGTGGCGGACGTGGCGCTCCAGGCAGCCCGCGCAGCCCTGAGGCCTGGTTGGAGGAGAGGGTCCAAAGTGGGAGAAGCCTGGGACAAGATTCTGTTGGCTTGGCCTGCCAGGCGGGAGTGTGCTGGCAAGGAGACTGGCATGGATGTGCCTTGATGCAGTTGGAGGTTTCAAACGGCGCTTGTTGTAGAGGAGCGTTGAACCTAGCACATAATCCTGAGGCAGTTTTCGATGCGATGCGCGGAGACGCAGCTGGCAGTCATGTCTCCCGAGAAGCCTTTCAGAGGCCAGCGACAGTGTAGCATTGCGTCAACCTTAATCCTTAATTATTCAACGTCGTGTTCGCAATTAGCAACCTGCTAACACCGCAAAAAGTCAACATCAACCTTGGCAACTAGTCAGAGGTATCTGGGATCCTTGCCGGAGCCTCCTCTCAAGGAAGAGCAGGTCGGGGCCGGCAGAACCTGTGTGCTCGGTGCGGCATTGTGGGTTCAGAACTTGACCCTTGACCATATTATCTTGCTTGAGCTGACAAAGATCATTTGGGGAGCGGAAATGGAAGGTCTAGCTGAGTCTAGCTGATCAAGATAGACCACCTATTAATTGGGTACCGCGTTTTCCCAAGCCTGTAGAGGGCTTATCTTGAGGGAGTCAGAGTGAGCTTCGCCAGCTTCGCAGAACGATTGAAGGTGTCCCTGGTATTCGATAGCATCCCCGGAAGTGAGGCGGGAGTTGGTGTTTTAATTGTATTCAGCTGTGCACTGGCTTGAAGCTGTGAGAATGTGACGGAATGTCAAAGTAATGCGTTGCATTTGAAAGTGACGGTCCTCATGCACAATGTTGAGGTTCATGGACCTGCAAGTGCATGAGAGAGAGCCCGTCGATTTGGATGCTTTCGCCCCTTGTGAGCCTTGCATCCACGCTAGGAAGGCATTTCCAGATGGAGCTTCCTGCGCAGCTTTCAGCAGTTCTTTGCAGGATCCTCAGCTACTGCTGAATCCCAGTAGTAGTTAGCACTAGCGTCCTTACCACCACCACCGCAGCAGCAGCACCATCGGCGGCAGCAGCGGCCCCGCGAGGACACGGATGAGGCGAAGCAGAAGCTACAATAATTGCAATCGTCGACACCGCGAGAAGCATCACCATTCGCAACATCTTCGTGGTGTCAGACACATCGTCATGAGCATAACAGCAACAACGACTGCCCAGACAGGGAATAATTGCATGGCATAGTCGAAAATGCGGCTGCATATATCACACACTGGATGCAGCATCAACAGCTGCTTTCACCTTGATGCCTGCAATGACAGTCCTGTCGCATCCTGTAGCTGAAGCGGTTTTTGCAAGATGCTGGTGCGGCAGCAAGGCACCCAGCCTTGTCTAGTCCAAGGTGTGTCAGAAGTCGATCGCACTGACGTTCGACTTTGTCATCTCAAACTGCAAGCCGCTGCGCATGCTGGCTACAGATGAGGCAATCCTCGTTTTGCGCTAGCGTGTGTTGCAGTCCAAGAAGCGTGAGCGCGTCAGGGCAGGGGCAGGAGGTTGGGGTCAGCTCGAGAGCGGGCACTTGTAGCTTGAAGAATTGAAAGAAGGTGAACCCTTAAACCAGCCATCCATAGTTTCGAAAATGCAGTGGTGCCCACCCTTCGCAACCGAGCCGCAGAGCAAGGAAGAAGAGTAGTTGGATGTCTTAACCTTGGTTCACATGACTTGTTCTCGTGACCATATGCCTTTGTTGTCAAGAGCCATGGGGTTCCTTGCGAACATCAACGTGGGTGGGGCTTTTGGGGAGACCATGAATTCCGATCCATCCTATTTAGCTTGGGAAACATATCGAACTCAACCTACCTGCGAAGTAGGAAGCCCAAAGCCTCTAAATCCAAAGCCCTAAAACTCTGAGCTCTAGATCCTGAATCCTAAGCCCTGGCTCCTGAACACCAAACCCTGAATCGTCAAGCCCTGAACCAACGACAACTCAATGCCAGTGGACTTAGGACGCCAAAGAGCCCTCACAAAAAAAACAGTCTATTCCTACATAGCCCCAAGATACTTTCTACCAACCTTTCGAAGGGAAGCCACATGTAAGCCCTTCAGAGGACCCTCAAATGAGTAGATGATATCTTTAGACAAACCTTTCCCTGAATGGGACTCCCCCCATGGAATGTATGTTCCCCAGATGGAATACACGACCCCCCCATGTACTCCTTATCCTGCATGGGATCCAATAAGCGAGTCTATACCTGTACCTGTAGTCTCCTTAGGAAGTAGTTTTCATTTGTTATAGTACACCCCAAGGAATGTTTGAAATTGTTCTTATTTTTGTAGGTCTAGGGGGAGTACAGGTAATTGTTGGGCTCCAAACCCCTCTACACCTAAACCCTAAACCCCTAAACCCTAAACCCCAGCAGGTCATGGAAGTCCTGGAGGGACCGCAGACGGATCCAAAGTTAGGCCTCCGAGCGGATATAGGGGTTTCCCTGAATTTAGGGGTATCTTTTTGGGGGTGCCTAAGGATTATAGTATTTTGGGGGTCTATATTGGGGTACCCCTATTTTGTGAAACTACCATGTGTCAATTTCCCAAAGGGTTCAGAGCTTCGTGTAGGATTTAGTGGCGTAGGGGTCTAGGCTTTCGGGTTTAGGGCTCAATTTAGAGGTTAGGGGTTTGGGATTGATGGTTGAGTACAGGGTTTGGATTTCTAGAACTTGTAGCCTAGGAGTTTTGACATAACTTATGGAAACCTTTTCCATCAACGCATGTGGCAGTTTTTTGTGGACGCGCGACTTGTTTACGGCATGGGGTGTACCTGGATCTCAAAAGTGTGCGTGGGAATATGACCGAAAGACCATAAAGAGATAAGAAGGCGATCTTTCTGAGCTTCAGGTCATTCATCCATGTTTTACTTTTTACATATAGTGGCGGGCAGTTCGATTCGCTTTAGGGCAGGCAAGAGCCCAGAGTAAAAGTATCGAACATCACCATTTCTAAGAGGGAATATTGCGCTGGGAGTGCTGAACGGAAGGCCATGCATGCCCCTATTTCCCTTTCCACACCAAACAAGCAAAACAAGATTGAAGCAGCAGATTTAGCATCAGAGTGAGTACTGATAGCAGTTACTGATGGCAGCCGGACGAGCATGGCCTGCTGACAGGGCGGTCCAAGCCAAAATGGCATCCAAGCTGAACCCGCGCCCACTTTAGAATTGACCTGATTCATTCCAGACTGGATCATGGGTTGGAATACCACTCGTCGTCCAATCCAAGTGCTTCATGCCCGCCATCCTGCTTCATCCAGAGTTTCCTCCCTTCCCCATGCCCGAAATCGGCGAACTCGAAGCTTAAGAGCCGACGTGCCTGACAGGGATCACAAGAGTGAAGGGGAGAGTCCTGGAGCACAACGTGGTTGGTTGGTGCGGCGCACAGACTCACCATGCCGCCAGGTAGAGCTATGGGCCTATCTATGGAGAATCCCAAACCATCAGCAGGAGGTGCTGTTCAGATGTATGAAGCGCTTACAGGGTTTTCGAAGTGCGTCACAGGGTTCAGGGTCAAGGGTCTGAGGCAGTCAGGCACAAGAACACGAGAGGATTACGAAAAGCAATTGAAGAAGCTGCTTTGACGATTCCTTTGCCGCGGGCTATCGTTTAGATTTTGATGCGCTCCAGCTAGTGTCCAAAGTCACCATCCACACCCCAGCAATTTCCATACCTTCAGAACTAATCGCTCTATACAGGTCTGGAAACCCCCCAAACTCCAGCTCAATGCCATTGGCCTTACAAAGACTATAGCCAAAGCTCTATCAAGCCAGATACAATCCCAGTTTCCGGCTCATTTGCCGTTATGTTTTGCATCTCATTCTCCATTGTTGCCTTAATCCCCAAACCGTATATATCCCTATATATCCCTATATATCCCCTCATTGTGCGACTTCCAGTTTGGCAGGGCCACTGTCTCTGGCAACCAGGGCTCAGTCTTCTTGAAGGCACGTCGTGGAAAGTGCTTGCTTAAATTTGTCTTAGGCCTGTTGGGTCTAAAGCGTCATATCGTCAATCACCCCCTTCCCTTAATCCTGCTTCCCCTGTGCTTAGAATGGACATTTGCACTCCAACTGGCAGGAGAAGGCCAAACCCTTCATGCAGTGCCTTACGGACCTGCCTTTGGAATCCAACTTTGTGCATGCATCCCAGCACCAGTGGACCATGAGCCAAGATTGTGTATGGTCCGGGATCAGTTAAACTTCATGTGCCAGATATTGAGGTTCTTATGGTAAGTTCCTGGCAATACTACGAACAGCATTGCAGCATTTGACAAGGGTCGCTGCAAAGATGCAGGTTCAAGAGTGATGTCAGTTCTTGCAACCTTACACCGAACTTACTGAAGATCATGGAGATCCTCATGGCTGCTTCACGAAAACGACCCATGTTCATTGCCATTGAAGGACATGTAAACGTCATGGATAGTTGTTTGACGCGGATTATATGCAGTGCTGCTACGAACATGTCACAAAAGCATTCTGCTGCATGTCCCTTGCTTCATGATTTTCTCTGTTCAGAGCTGGCAAAGGTCGTCAGGAGAAGCTCCCATCCGGACGCTGAAGGCCTGCTGCGAGGATATCTCCTCAACTTACACCGTGCAAGGTTTCAAGCAAATCTTCAGTTTTTGCTTGTTGTTTGAATAGTCTGCTACAAAACACGAGGCATCATTGGGGTTTACAGACATCCCGCAGCGCCAACTTCTGGGCCGCCCCTTTGTTATGAGACTTTCTATTGTAAAGATCCGGCTGTAGCATGTGGGATCTTCTTCGTGCCGCGTCTTGTGAACAGCATGTCTTAGGTGAACCCCCCACCCAGTAATAGTGACTATAGGGGACCATAAGGATTATACCAGGCTCCTCTTACATTCCTACTAATTATACCACTATTACAGGGTGGGGCGTCCACCTAAAGCATGTCTCGTTCCTGGGTTTCCCATCTTGGTCCACATCTTTGTGCGCTGAGTTCGCGTCCTTGCTCTACAGCTTCCCACCTTCTTGCTGCTGGCCATATTAGTGGATATATTGGGGTTTTATCGGGGAAGCTCTCGAGTGTGCACTCCTATTCCTCTCGAGTGTGCGCTCCAAATATCTCGAGTGTGCAATGCTCGGTGTGTTTTGAAGCGGCCCCCCCAGCCGCGCC